TTGATCTGTAATATTACAGTGTTATGTTGATTTGTTTGTCTTTCTCGGTCCATGCACTACACATTTGAGTGGTTTTGTGTTAGAAAAAAAATGCAACCAATCAGATATTTTTCTAGGTCTCTGGGTAGAATATCCTTCAACCAAGGTAGCCTATATCCTTGATAGTTACACTGAATGAGAGCGTACGTTTGGATTGACAGTTTGATCAACCAATCATATCTTGATTTGTAGCCAATGGGCGTATTCTTTCAGAGTTTCCCTCGGTTCTAGGGTACTCTAGAAGGCCCGTTAGTTCACTGGCTCCAGACAGAGGATCTAGATAAATGCGACGTAGCAATTCATTTGCCGTTTTATTGTTTTTAACGTTGAAATGGCAAGTGCAACAGGTGATGTTGTTGCGGAATTGTTGCCAGTACCCTTTTCAAGACGACAATTCAGTGAAAAGACGGACATTATAACGGCGGCGGCGGGGGGTGTGTGTCTACAGAAGGTCCAGTTGTGATAGACACAGTTCGCCACTGGAATACAACCATGTGAATACAACCAGGATCAACACACTCTCACTCCCAAAACGTCCAGGAGCGATGCTTGGTCAGGGTCCCGTGGCGTGCAGTTGGGACGCGCCGAGGCTCCTTCGGCTTCATAAACGGACGCAAAGAGCTTTCAACTGATTGCAATGTATTCCCATCGGCGGCGGTATTTGATGCTCATCGAAGCCCCGCATCCGTTTATGTCGGCGGCTCTTAAAGGCAATGTGAACCACTGGCTATAAAGATAGAAAGACTAAGCCTTGCACAGAGGCATGAAAATACATTTTCAACATGCTCAACAGTGCTGCCAAAATTATAAACTGCTACACAATTAAAATAAATGCTTTTATACATTTCTATTAGATGTGACTCTTTGGCGTTTCTGTTATTATTAACTGCTTTAGTTGTTCTGACTGCTAACATCATCTGTTATTCCTAATTTTAAAGCCGATATTCCGTGGGGTCGGGGGGCTCCGATCCTTGTCACCTTTTTCATACCTGATGAGTTTGCATCCCTGACTATAGCATGACATATTAATATCTATTCAACTGTTCTTTATGTGTGTTTTGCAGTGGCAAGGACTGGGAGGACACATGGGAGCCTGCCAAACTCTACAGCAGCTCAAAATGAAAAAAAAAATACTTTCCAATGTTGTTCAGCAGTTTTAATGTTCAGTTCTATTTCTAAATGAGAATTGTATTTTATTTGTTTATTTCGTTTTTGTATTTTCTCTCAGTTTAAACCAGCCACAAGTTTGTGTACATGCTCAAATGCAAGCATGCACATACACACACGCGCGCGCACACACACACACACACACACACACACACACACATACATACATACATACATACATGCACACACACACACACACACACACACAATAAATTGTTTCAATAAATTGTTGTTTCTGTTGTGTATTTTTTGTACAATTATTTCTCAGTAGGGTAAAGCCTTTTAAATGTTTGGTATGTTAATGCAAATGTGACAATCATTATTTGTGGCCTGCCTCAGTCTTAAAACACAAGATAGATATACATTTTTGTTATGGTCTTCTGTATATGTCATATGAATAATACTGGTACAATTTGAATTTGCCCCAAAACGTGGAAATGAGAGCAGACCAGATTTTCGAAATGCCAGGGACCGGAACATCAGGAGCATCTCTAAAAGACGATATGTGACAGTCCTGCAGCAATGGACCATATGAGAAACATTATGTTTTTTCTGAGTTTAGAATGGCAGAAGACACTACACTACCCAGAATCCTCAGCTTTAATACACAGCAACATGTAAAACATGCAATTTATTGTTACTTTTCTGATTAATGATGTGAAATATAAACAACCCTTAAATCAGACTTTAGTTACACCTGAGTAAAATTCAGGGAAGGTGATTGTCAAGTGCCAACAATCAGGCGAGATATTTGATAGTTGGTGCTTGAGAAGACTAAACATTTATCTGCAGATCTCTATAAAGTATATTCATTACTCGTTATTCTCTAATCGTTCATTAAAGACTGTATGAAATGGCTATTTGGCACATCCCTTTCAAGATGTTCTAAGGTTTATTGACATATCATATACGAAACTACGGTGTAGTTATGGTTGCAGGTTCCTCAATAGTGCATTACAAGACATCTATCAATATGTGTGTATACCTCCACCATTAAACTGTCATATTCTGCACATTTCTTATACTATACATACATCTTATAAGAGTAATTAATATGCAATATCAGTTAAAATAAGTGCTTCAACATAGTTAACATTGCAGGAGAGTTGATTGTCAAGTCCCAAAACAAATGATGCAATATATTAGACTTTAAGTACTTTGTCAGGCTTAATATTTATCTGTAGATTTACCAAAGCTTTTTGCTTACATGTATTTAAAAGAAGACCTTAACTTAAAGTATTATTTAATGTTTTAATAAAGCCTAATTAGTTTGTCTGATTTGCACATCCTCCTATTAATATCTGTGTACATCCGGCACTAAACTTTTATTGTAGAGATCACTTACAGTAGCCTATCTTCTTGATATTTTCTATTCTATATTTCTATCATTGACCCCCTATTTTGTATGTACTCTTAATATTTAAATGTTTTCATCAAATGTAACCCATTCAACAAAACATGCAGCAGAGATTAGCAACACAACCTTACCTGCATTGCAATGACTCTAAACGTGTAATAACGTGCTTTAACCACTCGGTGAATAATACAGACGTATAAACTACACATGGTATACAATGCTATCAAAAATACATTAATTTACATATCTAACTATCATTACCAAGCTAAATATGGACTATATGAGGCTTATGCATTGTACCAGGTGTAGGCTAATTATGTAGGCTAAGTCAAAAACAGGCAACTGATGAGGTGAAAGGTAATTTATGAGGATGAAACAAATGAGGTACACAGAATACAATGCCATTGTATCTGTTTTATTATTAGTGTAGGACAGATATGTATATATAACACCTGAAGATGTTTTATTCATGTTATCACATAATTGTACAGGATATAGCTATATTATTGCACATATTTGAGTTCTTCACATATGAATATCTGATTTGTAAAACATCAGACAAAAAGGTTTATCCGCCCCCTCATGGTGCTAATCAGTATGTGTGTTTGCTAAACAGAGATACAAACAGAACATGAGTGAACAGTCAAAACAATTTTTATCAACTTTATTGTTATGGGACCTTGTTTACATAGTGTTTCAGAGTAGACATGTAATAACATCTGAATAAAATGAAATGATAGAAAATGCCTTCAACAACATATCAACAACCTGAAGAATAACTTACTGGACATACACATTAAGAAATGTGTCATTTTTTTTTGTCGGAGGACCGCAGCTGACGAGAGGGGGTGTAGGGCTGAAGGAGGTCAGCGATGTATGCAGGGAGTGGAGAGATTTGTAGGTTAGCAGGAGGAGTTTGTACTGGATGCGTGACTTGACCGGGAGCCAGTGAAGGTGGAGGAGGGTGGGGGTGATGTGTTGCCAGGGCTTAGTGCTGGTGAGGAGCCTGGCTGCAGAGTTCTGGACGTACTGGAGCCTGTCCAAGGCTTTGCAGGTGACCCCGAACAGAACTCCATTGCAGTAGTCCAGGCGTGAGGAGATGAAGGTACATCTCTTTCAGGGAATCACTGCGGGTTGAAAGGACCTTCCAGTGGTGGTTCATTTCTGTGACGAGAATCTTCTTCTCCTCCTGTAGTCTCTTCACTGCCATGACAAGGTAGAATGCTCTTCTCTTTGTCCTGAGGTCGAAAGAGTCTGGAAAGCATTTATGACAAAACATGAATTCATGTGTATGAAAGATCAACATTCAAAGAATCTATGAAGTCTTACATAGTTTTATATATCAGACATGAAGGTTTTCCACATTTGCTGTGAGCATTCAGCAGACTGGTGTACTTACCACTGTTTGGTAGCTGCCATGGCCAAGCTTTCTCCACAGACAGAATGGCTTCGAGGCACAGAGCTTCTGTGCTTGGAACCATTGAGTTGTATTTATCAACTATGGCTGTCAGGACCCCTTTCTCATCCCTGATCTTGCGGCGGATCCTGGAACGACCTTTGTTGCTGTCTGTTTCTTTGTAGAGACGCTGCAAACGTCTCTTGACACTTACGGAGCGTCCACACAGCAGCGTTAAAAAAATCTTCCAACGCTTCTGCCCATTCACTTTGAATGGGGTGACTTTGCCTCACTTTTCGCCGAACTGCATTGTGGGAAGCAGAGCGGAGACTTTCAGGATTCAAAGTTGAGCAATGTTCAACTTTTGAAGCTGAGGTGGAAGCATCAGCCAATCAAATCCCGTTTATGCAAATCTGACAGTTCAAGCGCTAGCCAATCAAACCGCGTGTAAGGTGGGAGTGACATACCGCAGGTCATTTCCTCATATTCCAAAAAATGGAGGAGAAATTAATTATAGCGGTAGGGAATCACCCGGTGCTTTATGACCAGTCCCTATTTACCTACCGGGATACAAACCGGAGGAGCCAGGCATGGAGGGAGGTGGCAGAGACAGTGGTAGGTTTTCGCCTGTTTGGGGAGTTTATATCCAGTTTACTTCGGGATTTTTTGCTTTGTATGTCGGGGGCGGGAGATTCATGTGATTGGTTGTTGGTCGCGTTGCTCGCAAAAAATCCCCAAGCTTCAGATACACCCACCTCCAAGATTTTTTTAACGCTGCTGTGTGGACGCTCCGTTACTGTCAGCATTTCGATCTTGCTGGCCAAGGCAGCAGCATCCCTTGGGTTGTTTGTTGTTGCTTTTTCGAGGAAATAGGTGTATTAAGCACAGTAATTCACAATAACAGTGACATTTGATCAAATGTTTTAATATTATTTTATTACATATTTCATAATAAGTATCTGGATCATCATTAATGCTTCATGAAAAATAAGTAATGCAAATGTCAATAGAGGGTTATCACTAATTCTGAAAATTCAAAATAAATTGATAAATCATGACTACAAAAAAGTTGAAAAACTTAATTAAGATTGTCCTCGCTTTCTGCCCACTCATTCACATCTCTGATCCAGTCTTCCAGCTGCTTTTCAGTCATTGCCAACTCAGCCTTCATGGACTCCAGGTTCTGCAATTGCTTTTCCAGAGCTTTTGTGGTCTACAAACGTCAAACAATTAAAGACAAGTAAATACAGAAATCTACATTTAGGCTGCAGCCACAAATAATTCTAACAAAGAATATGTCATTCTTCTAAAACTATGTTATTACCTTCAGATATCTGCGGGACAGTGAGGTGGCCAAGTTGCTGACTTTTTGCTGATTCCAGCGCATGGCCATCAGCGTCAGCATGTCTGTACGTCCTGCAAAAGAGAATATCACGTTATTACTATTCCTCTTACTTCTTATATTGTAACTAGGGTTTATACTATATTGCCATCCTAAATTGTGTTCTATGGTCATAATGAGCTTTTATGAGTTTGTGTTGTTGGTGTAATTTGCTAGTGTAATCTGTGCCTTTCTGAACTTTTTTGAAAACTGACAGTAAAGGTTCTATCATAACTCACCTGCTTTTGACATGTGTTTTGTGGTCACTGCTATCCGAGAGAGGAAGGCCTTGACCTGTTCCACCTCCTCCCCTAGGGTTAGTCCAGCCCCCTCGTGATATGCCCCACTCCATTTCACCTGTTTAAAATATATTCAAAAATACTACTTGTTACAACTTGTCACTATTCACAAGGAGGTTTTTACATAAAGTGATTGTGTCACATGGTAACAATTCCTTACTTCACATTTGAAGTCATGCGCTTTGGCATGAAACACTGAGAGAAAGGGCTTCATGTCGAGAAGATGCTGGAGCTCTGGACAGCTTTTTGTGATTCTCTGGAGGTAGGGCCAATATTTGCAGGTCACATCCATGCAAAAGAACATACTACTGGCCAGCTTTTTCTGTAGGTACAGGGGATAAGCAAAGATTTCTCCCCTGTACATATTGAGAGCACAGAGGAGCACTCCATGTCGACAGACGGCAAGCTCTAGTCCCTCCTCATCCAGCTTGCTGGCTGATTTTTGGGAGGTCTCTCTGGCTGCCGACCACTGTCCTCCACAAACACCTCTTCCGGAGACCTAATATATAAAAATGTATTGATGAAAATGGTGCAAAGACTTACATAACCAAACCCTTCATTAGGATATTATATTCTATTATACATAATTAGAGTCTGCAATATTACATGTTTGGTTGTGGTGTGTATATAGTCCACAAATCTTGAGACGTCTTCATCCCTGGCTATAAAGACACCGTCAAAGATAGCCTGTTCCTCAGATCTAAATAAATCAAAGGAGCAATGTATGACATCTCATATAATAAGGTTGATTGGTTCACATCATGATACTTTTGTTTCGTTATTTGTTCAAATACTGTGACATTATATATTTTTTATAGTACCTAGCTGCATTCTTGAAATGGTAATGCTTGCGGTTTCCATCCACGGAAACTGCAAGCATATCAGGGCTACACGCAGGACAGGTGAAGGGCTCCTCCTTGCACATGATGTCCACCTCATAACGCACAGCCTCCCACTCAAAGAAACTTTTGATGAAGCTGTCAGTTGAGATCTTCCCAGTCTAGAACAAAATAAGGACATCAACAGATAATTATATGTCAAAAATAAATTATAAGGGCACAGCTTATCAACGTACAATACAAATAGATCAAAAAGGACAAGTAACTTCAATACTCACACGGCCGAAGCGCAACGTTCGCTGATCTAGCATCCTTAAATATGCCTGAAAGGATAGTCCAGGTGCAGCCATTTTCATTTCTTCAAATGAGAAGAAAACATCTGTGGCATAAATGGTGGCGAAGTGAAGGGTAGCTGGCCAGTAGTCACTCCGAAGAAGGTCGTCAACCCCAGTCGTCCATGTCGCAGTGCATACTTCACAAGCCAACTCTGGCATGCTTAGCTCATGTCGTCCTTGAAAAACAGACAAGGTGTTTTTAATACATTTGGTATTCTTTACTCAATACCCATGTTAAGGTTTAATAAACAAGCTATCCCACATGTGTGGGTCTTTGAGAAGGGTTGGATATTATCAAGAAGAAACTTCAATAACATCTATCTTAAGAAACAAGACAAACATTCTTCCCATTCTTACCATTCATTGTGATCACAGTCACAGTCTTTCCTGGCTTGAGGCCCAATGACTCTGATGCACAACCACAGATTTTGTCCGGGATCTCCACAGGTACAAACCGCACTGGAAAAAAATTCAAATGGGAATTAAAAATAATTTGTCTCTTTTGAGAAATACAACATTGTTATGTGAAAGATTTAGGATTTAACTTTACATCAGAACATTAAAAAGAGACTTAAGCACACTGCTGGGAATTATCACAGAGATCTTGAGGAAGCTCACATTTTCAAAATGAAGTTCTCAACAAGTCCAGCAAGAAAATGTACATTCACAAACCAGAACTTACCACAGGAGCAAAGGGCCATATTTAGTACATGTGTTGTTGGGGCCAATGGCTGGAAGTAACCTGCAGTAGTAGCATCTCTGTTGTGGAGGGGGTGTCTGGTGTGCATGCTGACATCAGTCAGCACAGAAGAAGGGATTTGGTCGGCAATCCCGGCACCGGACAACAGACATTTTGCTCCAACACTGTTGGCAAATGTGTGTTCCCACATTTGCTTGGGCCACTACGGTGTTAACCAGATGTGGTCTCGCTGCCCTCCAGCTCTCTGAAAAAAAACGTTTTTGAGTGCTCCAGTTGGTCGACGCCAGCAGAGAAGCACTTGGGGTTTGTGCTACCACCTCATCTCCTGTAGTATCGCTCAGAGACTGCTGGAGATCTTGTTGAAACCCCCTCTGTTAAAATGGTACAATAAAGTCCAAAGCACAATGATTATTTTTCTTTAAAACATACTGGATGGAGTGGTTTTGAAAGCTGTAACTACTGTGTTCTTAATTCTAGCAAATGATGAAGTTTAGAAATGAAGTACGTATCACATAAAGATACAAGTATGAATATGTGTTTCGGGCTAACCAGACCAAATGAAGTACATACCAACAGTCTCTGGAGCGATAGCTGGAGCAAAGACCAGATCACAGTCAGGGTCAGGAGCATCAACGTTTTTTTTTCATATGGAGTGCAGTTGGAGGTTAACCAATCACAGAGCTTGAGGCAAAGCGGAACAATAGCTGAGGATTCTGGGTAGTGTAGTGTCTTCTGCCATCCACACACTCCGAAAAAATATTTGTTTCTCCGAATCGAAAGGGGAAAATACAAAAGCATTGTACACAATTTAAACCAATCAATGTTGTGTAATTAACAAGGATAATCTGGTGTTTTTGAGTTGACGAGTAGTGCAGATATCACTGTAAATAAAATCAATCGACAGTAAGGAGAATACTTACGGGTGTAAAATCCTCCGTTATCCAATGGGAATGGACGCTCACATTGTTCTTTGGGTCCGTAATACAATAAAGGGGACTTGATCAAATAGGAATATAATTATCTTTTAAATAACGTTAACTAAAGGGAACAATCTATTTGACACAGCTGAAGCTCTGGCCTTCCTTAAAAACTAACTAATTTAATAAAAATCACAGTTGTATTACACACAAATGCACTGTTTTCTGTTTTTTGAGAACAAAAATTCGTAACTAATGCACCATAATACATTCTGACGAAAAATAAAAATTATTATGAATACAAATAAAATAAAAGAAGCCTCCCGTGAGTTACTACAAGCTATAAAGTAGATTTTAAAAACGTTTTATAGAATAAAAGCTCAATGCTGGACGTTGTAGAAATGCGTGTGTGCACCACGACAAAGGAGCCTCATTCACTTTACATTGGGGTTGTTGTAGCAGAGTGCGTGACTCCACCACGCACTGCGGTGTTAAGGAGTCGTGGTGGAGTCACGCATTCTGGTGAGAACAGGTTGTGCTCATTGCGTTGGTGATGTAAGTAAGTACCATACAAATTGCAGAGTATGTAGGATTTAGGTTTGTTTGGGAAGCAAAGAAGTGCCGGTTCAAGTCCCGATCTTTGTTTGTGCATTTTTTTATTTCAGGCCTATGTGTGTAATTGTAAATAACACCACAGTGAAGAACTGAATTCCCCCTCATCATCTTGATCTTAATCTTAAATACAAGGATGGGTTTAATCCAAGACTAATTCTGAGTGTGTGGGTGCTGTGCTGTGTACATGTGTGACGGTTAAATGTTTATTAGATTCAAATCCTCCTTTTATACCTTTCAATATATCTATGTTGTTTGCCTTTCGCCATAGGCATGTATTGAAATCATCTTTTCCCTTTTGGATCATTTTGTGAGGTTATCTGACATCCACCTTGGCACACTGTCTAGAAAAAACACCCTCGAGCACATATCCCTGGACAGTTATAGAAATAAGTCATCTTTACATTTTGAGAGCGCTGGGCAGAGCCCCGTCTCTCCTCCGAAGTCCTTGGAGAGTCGTGCCGAGGGCACCTAATGACGCTCTCTCTGCCACCATGTTGCTCCTGTTTGCATCACTCTCCTGCATTCCCACACTTGTGCCTAAAAAACTGAATTAAGGGGAAAAGGTTTTTTAGAAAAAGACATTATTTGTTTTTGATGGATATTGCCTCATATCAAAGGCCAGTGCAGAGGCCTGGAGAGCTGCTATGTGAGGCGGAGAGAGAGTGGGTGGGACAGAAATGATGGACATGTTCTGTGGACCAAGCTGTTTGACTGTATTAATGATAAAGTCATAATTAAACACCCTTTAACTATTTAAAAGATCTATCTGCTATATTTGTCCCTTTAATAAAGTTAAGAAACTCAGTAAATACTCTGTTAACACTTTCTACTGAGAATGTATCTTTTTACATTTGTAATGTTTATTTAAAAAAAAAATATCTTTAAGATTTTTTTTAATTATTGTACATTGACTGTCAAAAAGCTGCTGTGACAAAACAATTTCCTAACTTATAAGTATCTATCCATCTATCTATCTATCTATCTATCTATCTATCTATGAAACCATTTATTTTTCTGAATTCTTCCTCTATTCCACCATTGTACACCTACTGTGTCCCTGGTCGTTGAGATATATATCGAAGCACAAAAGAAAATGCTTTCCCACCAACAGCTTATGCATAAGAATTTCAAACTCAGCAAATTCAGCAAGACAATGTCCTCAAATCATAAATATATTTAAAAACTCATACATAGCAACAAGCTTATTATAATGCCTTTCTTAAACATCAACATATTGTTACATAATCCTATTCATCCCCACAGTATAGGCCCGAACCTTGTGAATCTTAAAACTGCAGGGAGAGATGTTTTGAATAAAAACAATGATTGTGTGTCAAATATAAATGTATGTGGGCTGAGGCATATTAGCAAACCAGCTAATGCCCAGACACAACAAGACTAACAGGGTGGTCAAAATCAATACAACGCAGTAATTATTGAACAAGCATTCAATGTTCGCCTTTGGGTGTCGGTAAGAACACTAAAGATGCCTGATAGCGGTTGATTCCTCTTTTTATTTATTTTTTAAATTTATTTATTGTACAGGCTACAGACACAAAACATGGACATTACAATAACAAAATGAGACATTCCTATCTCAGACAAAAAACAAAACAAAAAAAACAAACAGAAACAAATTAAATACAGTCAGTTGGTCACTTCAACATTTCATAAACAAAACAAAAAAAATAGGTTGACAGTCCAATATCATCAGAAGCATGTATTATTCCTTTTTATCCCACTCTTCGCTAGAGCTGATTGTTTCCCATTTCATGGTGTGTTGAGCCACCCTTTGATTCTTTGTGGCAATCATCCTTTCCAAAATAAATTGTGTTTTTAATCTACTTTTCACACACCTTAAATTCAGATTTGTCCTTGATTGAGCTTTAAAAATAAGTATTTTTGCCAGAAGAAGAATTGTATTCATCAACTGTGTATTGTCCTAATCCATAAGCCCAAACAAAAGACCAAAGGGAGTAAATGCAAAATCAATATAAAGTGTCTTAAGCCAATTTTGAATCTCAGTCCACAGTCTTGCAACGTATGGACAATAAAAAAATAAATGCATCTGGTCTTCCTCTTCCTCCTCACAGAATCTACAAAGTGGTGACGGTTCGATATTAAAAGTGTTGAGTTGTTTTTTTGTAGCGATAATCTTGTAAAAGATCTTCAGTTGGAAGATTCTTGAATAGGAATCAATAGTTGTTGTGTATATGGTTCTAAAAAATTGTTTCCAGGGTATCAGAATATTAAATTCTTCTTCCCAGAAAGAACAGACCGCATGAGGAAAAGCAGTAAGGCCCTTGCTCTGTAAACAGTGATTATAAATTATTTTATTTATTTTCATTTTTGATAGCCATTTCTGACTTCTTGTATGAGGTGACCTGTTGTCGGTTTCCATCTTTTTTAAATTTACGTTTCCAGTTAGTTGGAATAGCTGAAAGCAGCTGGTTAAAATGAAGGAAATCACATATCTGACCATACATACAGCAAAAACACTGATATGAAATTAAATGACCTGTGCTATCTAGTAAATCATTCATGAAAATAATTCCTTTTCTCAGGAGACTTTCCCATAATAGTGGTTTTCCATCTATTAAAACTTCTGAGTTCAACCATATTAATTGATTTTGGATTTCTTCTGGTGTATCTGGGGGGTAATACTGGAAACTCAACCAAGCCTTCAATGCATCTTTAACAAATGGTGAGATTTCTACTAATATTTATTTGAATAACCATCACAGTGGTGAGATTTTAATTGGAAAAAGGGAAACAGTTTACAGTAAAAAAATAAGTGCCCTGAAAATAAGTTCTGACTTGTTCTCCAAAGACTATGATGATACATCTTATTAATCCAAGATGCTTTTAAGGATGAATTCATTGCTGCCAATTTTTTTAAGTTTAGTCCACCATTTTCAAGTGTATTATATATGTATTGCCTTTTTATCTTGTCAGGCTTATTATTCCAGATGAACTTAATCATTCGTTGTTCAAAGCTTTTAAAGAAGGACGCCTGAAGTGAAATTAAGAGACAGTGGAATCACAAGAGCATTAATTAATGTAATCTTTCCCTGTAATGAGAGAGTTTTCCCTTTCCAAGGTTGAATTATTTTCTCAGTTTTCTGCATTTTTCGCTCAAAATTGACCTTAACTAGATCTTTTTCATTTTCTGGAATATGAATTCCCAGAACATTTACTGAACCATTACACCATTTGACTGGAGCTGAGCATTGTAGCTTGATATATGTGCCTCTTAATGTTCCTATTCTCATAATACAGCATTTATCAAAGTTAGGCCTTAGCCCAGCTAATTTTGAAAAGTTATTTAAATCAACTATGAGGGCATCTAATGCAGTTTTTTTCAGGCTGTAGAAAGAAAGTTGCATCATCTGCATATAATGTTACTTTTGTTTCAATACCATTTGATCTTAAGCCTGTTATACATGAATTGTTTCTAATTCTGATAGCAAGAATTTCAATGCATAATAGAAACAGATATGGAGACTGTGGACACCCTTGACGTACGCCTCTGGACAGGCTGAAGCTTTTTGATAAATATCCATTATTAACTATTTTACTGGTA